CTGAGTGCTGGGTTAACAGAATGAGACGTGGGGCTCTCTTCCGGTTCCTTATATGGTTTCTGATGAATTGCTTAGCTGGGCCTTCAGCTTCTTCTGGGAGGCCGTGAGCTTTGGATCCTCTTACTCTCTAGAGTGGCTGCTTGGGGTCACAGTCCTCGCTCCAGGCTCAGGGCGTTTGGTTCTTGTTGTGATCAGGATATGAATGTTTGCTCATAAACGAAAAGCTAAATTCTGTCTTTGACAGCTTTAAAGTGTTCAGAACTAGGGCGATCAGTGGAAATTGTGTGAGCTGTGACTGAAGTAGAAGGCTCTTTAGGCCCAGCTAAGGCATATGGTGTATACTTGTATGGTTCTCTAGGTCCACTAAGTTACCCTTTTTTTTATATAACATTTATAGGCATGTACACATGGCAATAACTTGCAGGAATCAGTTCTTTTCCTTCTGTTATGTAGGTTCTGAGGATTGAGCTCAGATAATCGTCAGGCTTGGTGGCCAGCCAGCCTTTTACCCTCTGAGGAATGTTCTTCCTATGAATTACCCTTTATTCTTTTCTGTCCATTTATTCATTTATTTAGTGCACACATACATGCATGTTTTTGTGCATTGTGTGTGGGTGTGTGCGCATGCAGGCAGGTGGGTGATACTCTAGGTATCACCTGTAGAGAGCTCAGAGGACAGCCTTTGGAAGTTTCTCCTCCCGTTGTTTAGATCCCAGGGGTTGGTGATAAACACCCTTGCCTCTTATTCTGCTCACTGCCACTAAGTTAATTACCCTTTTTGGCTGAGTTGAGAACATTGAACTTGGGTCATGTGAATTTAAACATTAAAACAGTTTATGGCAAAATTCTTATGACTATATGTAGATTGTCTGCATAAGTATACATCAAAATATTATTCCTGGTGAAATTCACTTCTTCTGAATGTTTGCTCATAAACGAAAATAAATATTTTCATTTTCTTCTGCTTTTCCCTAGGCTGCTTTACGTCAGATTACTGATAAAGCTCGAGAATTTGGGGCTGGACCTTTGTTTAACCAGATTCTTCCTTTGTTGATGTCTCCTACACTTGAGGATCAAGAGCGTCATTTACTTGTGAAAGTCATTGATAGAATACTGTATAAACTTGATGACTTGGTGCGGCCGTATGTGCACAAGGTTGGTTGTTCTCTTAGAGTTTAATGGTTTTAATTTTTATTTTTTTGGGTTGGATTCTATTTTCCACTGTCTGGAATCAGATTTTTTGTTGTTGTTGTTGTTGCGGGGAGGGGGTTGAGGCCGGGCGCTTTGCTCAAGACAAGGTTTTTCTGTGTAGCCTTGTAGACCAGATCAGCCTCAGATCACCTACCTTTGCCTCCTGAATGCTGGGTTTAAAGGTGTTTGCCACCACTGCCCAGCCATTTAATATTTTTATAAATTTCAATAAAGAGTCAAGGGTTTATTTTACCAGTTTGTTGTCCTCGTATTTATAAAGATTTACTTCATGTGTCTGGCTGTTTTGCCTGCATCACTTACATGTTTGCTGCCCTTAGAAGCCAGAAGAGGGCATTGGATCCCCTGGAACTGGAGTTACAGATGTTCTGGTTGCCATGTGGGTGCTGGGTATTGAACCTGCGTCCTCAAGAAGAGCGGCTATTGCCATTTAACTACCGAGCCAGTCCCTTTCCCTGTATTCTTAAAATTTTAAAGTTCAAAACTTTAGTTTATTGTATACAAGCGTAGACTAGAAAAGTTTACCAATTTATAGCCTCTTCAGAGAAATGAGTGTTGAATGTTGTCCTCTGATCTTTTGGAGTTTCTTTAAAAAAAAAAAGATTTGATTGATTGATTGATTTATTGATTTATTTTGTTTGCAATGTTTTGCCTGCATGTGTCCCTGCAGTCTAGAATTGGCACCAGATCTCAATTCAGATGGTTGTGAGCCACCATGTGGTTGCTGGGAATTGAACTCAGAACCTCTGGAAGAACAACCAGTGCTTTTATCTTCTGAGCCATCTCTCCAGCCCCTCTTTTAGGGGTTTTGAAAAAGTGTCTCACCATGTTATTGAGGCTGACCTTGTGTCTATGGGTGCAGGTGTCTGCTAACTCATTCTATTCCAGGATTTCCTGCTTAGGCAATGGTCTACCCACAATTTAGATGGAACTTTGCAAGACAGTTGCCTGTGTGTTCCCAGAGTCTCATTTCCCAGGTAGTTTTAGATCTTGCCAGAATCACAATATTAATTATCACAACTACCAGGTCTTTTTTTCCTCCCAGAAGCAAGCATCAATATACAAGTGTTTTTATGCCATCTTTACTCTTGGGAATTACCGCTCTTTTTTTCCTCTCTCTCTCTTTTTTATTTACTGATCAGAATGAGAATAGGTATTTTATTTTGTATTAGAATAAAGACTTGTCTTAATTAAGATATTTTTAATATATTTTTTAATATAAAATGTTATTTTACCTTTAATTTTAACCTATATCTTGGACTTGACAGTATGGAGTTAAAATTCTTTAAATTACCCCTTGATTAGCAAAGTTCTTTGATAACTGTAAATTGATGTGGAAATGTAATTCCTCTTTTTTTTTTTCTGTTTCAGATTCTTGTGGTTATTGAACCACTGCTGATTGATGAAGATTACTATGCTAGAGTGGAAGGCAGAGAAATTATTTCTAATTTGGCAAAGGTATTTACTTAAATTCCTAGAAAGGCAGTTTGTCTTTGGCTGGCCTGCGATGGATGGTGACTGACGCTGCTCTTGCACCTTCCTCTGCAGGCCGCTGGTCTGGCTACTATGATCTCTACCATGAGACCCGACATAGATAACATGGATGAGTATGTCCGGAACACAACGGCTAGAGCTTTTGCTGTTGTAGCCTCTGCCCTGGGCATTCCTTCTCTATTGCCCTTCTTAAAAGCGGTGTGCAAAAGCAAGAAGTCCTGGCAAGCGCGGCACACGGGCATTAAGATTGTGCAGCAGATAGCTATTCTCATGGGCTGCGCCATCCTGCCGCATCTCAGAAGCCTAGTGGAGATCATCGAACATGGTAAGTGCCGGTAGACCTTGACCTGCGAAAGATCACGGTCCTCAGTGTGTGGTTACTGAAGGGCTTCCCCACGTGAACGCACTATACTTTGAAAAGCAGTTTGCTGTATTTTCTGTTAAGACACTGCTCTTGCCGAAATTTTGTCTACTGTAGAATGTTTTGAGGTTGGGATCCATGGTTAGATACACTGCTGAAGTTTGGTTTGCACTGTGAAAATGAGCGATTGGTGCCTTGCCTGCTCACACCTGTGTTTGGTTGTATAGGGCTTGTGGATGAGCAGCAGAAAGTCCGGACCATCAGTGCTTTGGCCATTGCTGCTTTGGCTGAAGCAGCCACTCCTTATGGTATCGAGTCTTTTGATTCTGTGCTCAAACCTCTATGGAAGGGCATCCGCCAACACAGAGGAAAGGTAAATCCACTCTTGAGATTCTGTTTGTTGCTGTCCAGTAAGGCCATCTAAAGTTAATTGACTGATTTGTGTGTCTATTTATATATTTTATTTTTAAATAGGGTTTGGCCGCTTTCTTAAAGGCTATTGGGTATCTTATTCCTCTTATGGATGCAGAATATGCCAACTACTATACTAGAGAAGTGATGTTGATCCTTATTCGAGAATTCCAGTCTCCAGATGAAGAAATGAAGAAAATTGTATTGAAGGTAATTAGTTGTTCTAGTTTGTAGGTGCATATTCACTAACATAATGTGCATATCTGAAAGTTGGAAGAGGTCTTCATAGCATATAAACAACAAACCTGTGTTGTCACCCGGTAGGTGGTGAAGCAGTGCTGTGGGACGGACGGTGTGGAAGCGAACTACATTAAAACAGAGATTCTCCCTCCTTTCTTCAAACACTTTTGGCAGCACAGAATGGCTTTGGATAGAAGAAATTACCGACAGGTAACCTTTCGTTCTTAAAATTTGAGTCGCAAAAGTCTTTTTGTCTATTTATTTTCTTATTTTGAGATAAGGTTTTACTGTGTAGTCTGGAAATTGTTATGTAGACCTTAAACTCATGGATCCCCTGCCTCTGCCTTCCAAGTGCTGCTATTAAAGGCTTGCTCCACCACACCTGACTTTTTTTTTTTTAAATGCATTTAATGTAAAATTTCCATGAAACTGGTGCATTTAAAATTTAAAAATGTTGGCCTGGAGAGATGGCTCAGTGGTTAAGAGCATTGCCTGCTCTTCCAAAGGTCCTGAGTTCAATTCCCAGCAACCACATGGTGGCTCACAACCCTCTGTAATGAGGTCTGGTGCCCTCTTCTGGCCTGCAGGCATACACACAGACAGAATATTGTGTACATAACAAATAAATAAATATTAAAAATTTTTTTTAAATGTTTATTTTTCATGTGTTTGGTTTGGGTGTTTTGTCTGTGTGCGCTGTCTCCACCATTGTGTGATTTGTCTCATGCCTACTGAGGCTGTGTCATTGAGTTACAGATAGTTGTGAGCCAGATATCTCATGGTAGTAAAGTTACAGACAGTTGTGAACCACCTTATGGGTGTTGGGAATTGAACTTGGGTCTTCTGGAAGAAAAACCAATATTTCTAACTGCTGAAGTCTTCTTCAGCCCAGTCTGCAGCCCAGTAATAAAAGGCATGCACGCACGCACACACATACCCTATTTGTGCACATGGCGTGTGTGTTTAGTGGTTGATTGTGTTTAAATTACATTTATTTGATGTGTGCATGTGCTCCCAGTGCATGCGTGTTAGGGAGGTGGGAGAGCAGTTGGCTGGTGGGCCCTCTTTGAGCTGTATCTTGGGTCTCAGACTCAGATTGTCCACTGTGCCTGTGACCTGTTGAACCCTGTCTCTGCACCCCTCTTTTTCTCTTTTCTTATTGATAAAAAAAATCTCACTTAGTAGCCCAGGCTGGTCTCAAAATTTTGGTCCTTCTGCCTCCCAACTCACCAGTACTAAATTATGAGTTGATGTTTTTGTCTGGTAAATTTGGGGCTTTTTCTTCCTCGCTGAAACGTAAGTATAATTTTACTTAGAATGCCTTTTGGTTTGGAGATAGGGTCTCATTTTTCTGGGCTTGCCTGGACCTTGCTGTACAGCTAGATTAGATTCAGTCTTGGAAGATGTCAGGTTTATGTATGGCAGGGCGCTGTGCTGCAGCTGCTCTCAATTGAGTGTTTACTAGTAAGCTTTACTTCCTTGGAAAAGTAGTAGTTTTAAAATGGTTTTGTTTTTGTTTTGTCTTTTTAGCTAGTTGATACGACTGTGGAGTTGGCAAACAAAGTAGGAGCAGCAGAAATTATATCTAGGATTGTGGATGATCTGAAAGATGAAGCCGAACAGTACAGGAAAATGGTGATGGAAACAATTGAGAAAATCATGGGCAACCTGGGCGCAGCAGACATTGACCACAAGCTCGAGGAGCAGCTGATCGACGGCATTCTCTATGCGTTCCAGGAGCAGACCACAGAGGTAATGACAGCTAATCATTTACGTGTGGTTTTAGATTTTATTGTGTGTTCGTGTGTGTGGGTGGGAATTAGAGCTGTTGTGGCAACGCTGCCGTTGGCCTTCGTGTGTGAGAAGACCGATGTTTACAGCAGATGCCCCTTAAAAGTGATTGAAGTTTGACGTTTCAAGTACTAGTTTTCCTCAGTTTTAACAAACGTTCTTTTACCTCAGATTTTTGGATTTGATTTAAGAACAAACAGGATGTTTGGGTGTTAGGAAAAGATTGAATGTTATTCAACAATCAACTTTCAGTTAATACTCAATTCTGTATTTTTAGTGAGTTTGTTTTTTTAAAAATGTAACTTTGGTTTTCTCTTTTAGGATTCAGTAATGTTGAATGGCTTTGGCACAGTAGTTAATGCTCTTGGCAAACGAGTCAAACCGTACTTGCCTCAGATCTGTGGTACCGTTTTGTGGCGTTTAAATAACAAATCAGCAAAAGTCAGGCAACAGGCAGCTGACTTGATCTCCCGCACTGCTGTTGTTATGAAGACTTGTCAAGAGGTAATCTGTCTGTTCTACCAGCTTTATATTGTTGTTTGCAGGGAGTTTAATGTAGAAAGTAACGTTTTAAACATTTCTTTTATTACAGGAAAAACTGATGGGGCATTTGGGTGTGGTGCTGTATGAATATTTGGGTGAAGAATACCCTGAAGTATTGGGCAGCATCCTTGGAGCGCTGAAGGCTATTGTTAATGTAATAGGTATGCAATTGCCTGGTTATATGAGAATTTGGCCTTGTAATTTTCTTTTATTTTGAAAGCAAAATATAAAGTCCTAGTTAGGAATTTGTTGGTTTTTGTTGTCTTATTTTGAGCACTTCAGGGTTGTCAGAGTATGTCACAATGTCTTCTTTTCCTATTGTCCATTTACTTAAATATGTTAAAAGGGAAATTTATGACATTCGAGGCATGGAAACAGTTACACCTCAAAACGTTGTGAGTTACTGGGAGAGAGGACCCTGATAGAACTTATGGAGAGAGAACTTTTAAGAAAGAAAAGAAAGAAGAAGTAATGATAAAGCAAACAGAGGCATACCCATGTTTAAGATCTCATTGTAGTTGGGCAGTGCTGGCACACAACTTTAATCCTAGCACTTGGTGGGCAGGTTGATCTCTGCAGTCTGAGGCTGGCTTGGTCTACAGCGCTGGAACAACCAGGGATGCACAGAGAAACCCTGTCTTGGAAGGCCCCCAAAAATCTTGTATTTAAACATTGTGCTGAAAGTAACTCCTTTAAGGCTGAAAGGGTTTGAAAAAAGGCCAAGAGTTCATAACTCCTGGCCCGTGGTAACCACTGTTTTCCCTGTTGCAGTGTAGATCTGTGAAAGGTTGTGTTTACATACAATCCTCAGTTCAGCCCAGTCTTGGTGTGCTCTAGAGACGCTGACTTGCCAGCGGTCATTTAGCTGCTTCCCTCGTGGGTTTCTGGCTTGTCAGAGTTGTAAACAGTATTACCTGGGAAACATGAGAAAAACGACGGAAAATCAGAGCCAGCAGTTTTAGTTAGAGCAAGAGCCCCTGTTAGATGGTTCTTTTTAACCCCCCTTTCTTCCTTCTTAGGTTTAAGCACCATCCAGACATGCCCTGAATTTCAGGGAGACTGGAGATCTGTTTTGTTTTGCAGTTCAAGGGTGTGGGGCCATTTCTGATTTGGTTTACGTGTCTACTTTTGCTTATATTGTTGTATTTGACCAGAACGTAGGATGTCCCCATATTTAAATGTCAGTGTACAAATAGCATTTCAAAACCAAATAAATCTTTCTGTTATTAAGTAATCCTCATTCTTTAAATCACTGATTTCTTTCATTTTTACATGTAATTAGAAGCTATTAATAGTTTAAAAAATCAAAGTCTACTTAGAATCTGGGGCTTTTATCCATAGACGGCTGGTTTATGCGTTGCATTGCACAGTAAACGGAGAAATGAAAAGAGGCTGTAGTTCAGGGTTTAACGGGTCCTTGATCCTGTCACTAGGAATGCATAAGATGACACCACCCATCAAAGACCTGCTGCCTAGACTCACCCCCATCTTAAAGAACAGGCATGAAAAAGTACAGGAGAATTGTATCGATCTTGTTGGACGCATTGCTGACAGGTAAGCAGATTACTCTGCCATTTTTGTAGGTAGTAACATCCTCTTACTTAGTTTAAGTAGATTGCTTAAACATTCTTTTAGGCAGTATTTCTTCTCAGATTTAGTGGATTTGTATCCAGCAAGCAAGTTTTCCTTGACGCTGATTATCTAAGTATATATGGTCAGGTTATCCAAGATTAATATTTTCAGACAAATTTCACTTTGGCTGGTAATAAGTAGCAGTGTACTACTACTTTGTTGTTTGAGACAGGGTTTCCCTGTGTATCCCTGACTGTACTGGAACTTGTTCTGTAGACCAGGCTGGCCTTGAACTCAGATCAACCTGCCTCTCTGCCTCCTCAGTGCTGGGATTAAAGGCCCGCGCCACCCCGGCCAGCCTTAGAAGTGTAGTTTTAAAACTGAGCCAAACTTTCTTTCTTTCTGTTTTATTTTGTTTTGAGGCAAGATCTGACTATATCCCTGACTGGCCTGGAACTCCATAGATCAGTTAGACCACCACTTAACGAGTCAGGTTAGCCTTCATTTAGTGTTGACATGAGTTAGTGGTGTTTTCAGAACTGAGTATGTACATTTACTTTGTAACCTTCGAGTAAGGGGTGCAGATCAGTTACCTTATTTGGCATGATGGAGGCTCTGGACTTCATCCCCAGCACCGCAGAAACAAACAAAGCACCTTGATAGCAAAGCAGTAGTAACCTTTTAGTTAATTTTCTTTTTTGTTTGTTTAATTAGGGGAGCTGAATATGTATCTGCAAGAGAGTGGATGAGGATTTGCTTTGAACTCTTAGAGCTCCTGAAAGCACACAAAAAGGCCATTCGAAGAGCTACTGTCAACACTTTCGGGTACATTGCTAAGGCCATTGGGTGAGTAGTTGCATTGTTTCTAGTAGCTTATAATAAACCCGTTGTGTTGTAAAGTACTTTCATGTAGGCATATCTTTTGAGGCATGGTATAGTTAATCATCTGAAAAAAAAAGCTTCACATTTAATCACTGACCTGCCCTTGTCTATTTTAAGTATTTTTTTAACTTTTAAATTGAGCTAAAATAGATGGAATGCTTTAAAAATTTCCCCTACTGTAGTATAGACATTTTTAGAGAGGGAAATAGTTCCATTTTTAAGGTACATTCACATTTTTGTTGGTCTTTTTAGGAGATTGGGTATTGCTCCCCCCCCCCCCCCTTTTGAGACAGGGTAGCTTCTCATTTAATCACTGCCCTGGCTATCCTGGAACTCACCATGTAGATCAGGCTGGCCTTGAACTCAGATCGTCTCTCTTCTGGTCTTACTATTAAGAGCATGCACCCCCATACCTGACTAGGATATTTCTTACAATATTAAGGAATGAGTGAGCACCCCAGTTTTTTCATCTCCATACGGTTCTGGGCCTCTATTTTAATTGCTCTTAACAATAAAAAGAACCTTCTTTGGCTGGAAAGATGGCTCAGCAGTTAAGGACACTGGTCTGCTATAGACGAGCCAACTTTGGTTTCCATCTCTCACATGCCTCCGCAGTTCATGGCTGTAACTCCAGTGTTGATCTGATGCCTTCTGCAGGCA